GGATTATTTGCTTTTTGTTTGTTGAGGTACGTGAGCTCTTTATATATTTTGGGTGTCAACCCTTTATCGGCTCTGTCATTTATGAATATATTCTCCCATACTGTAAGATGCCTTTTTGCTCTATTGGTAGTATCCTTTGCTGTACAGAAGCTTTTCAGTTTAATGTAGTCCCACTTGTTCATTTCAGGTATACCCATTTTTAAAAACTTTGCACTGCCTTTTCACTTCATTTTCAAGCATTTTATTCAGGAAATTTTTCATTCTTTATATACTCCTTGACTCCTTTTGAATTTTGTGAATATACTACTCATTCCAAAAATATATTAAGTTAATGTAAAATAATAGCACATAGTTTTGCCATTACCTCCTGTGTCTTCCCAGGGAAGTTATTTTCCCTCTCTTTCTTTCAATATTTGATTCTTGATTGCCTGGTACTATAAGCCATGCACTGTTCTGGGCCTGGCGTTTAATGGTTTAATGTCTCCAGACCTCCACTTTGTCATCTGTACTGCAAGGAGACTAGACTAACTCTAAAGCAATCTTCAACTTGAGAGGGCATCAGACTCAACAGGAGGGCTCATTAAAACACAGACTGCTGGGTCTCACCCTCCGAATTTCTGATTCATTAGGCCTGGGTGGAGCCCAAGAATTAGTGTTTATAAAATAAAGTTCCTAGGTGAAGCTCTGGCCCAGGACCCACACTTTGGAACCCCACCTCTGATTTTCTAAGGTTCTGTGCGTGTCAATAAAACTGCAATCCTGAAGATAATACAGATTCCTGTATCTCAGAACACAAAGTAATCCCTCTCACCAGCAGTTTGGGAATACGTAACAAAGCAGACACATCAACAGAAGTAAAATTAGCTTCCATTCCACCCACAGGGAACATGGTGGAGGGCCGTGAAATCAGATCATGGTCAGGGCCTGGTGACTTTGAATAAGTAATTCTTCCTTTGGGAGATGACTTGGTGCAAGGCTTTCCCAGAAGGTTAAGAGATGAGGTTTAAGCCAGGTAGGGCATTCTGAAATCGCCAGGCCTAATTAATGCCCACAGGATAACACTGCTAGATATCATGTTGAAGCCCCCGGAATTTATCCCTACCTTACAAATTCAACCTCATCATCAGCGAGTTCCTTTCAAGGACATGGTGCCCAAGGACCCCCACACCTGACTTCATGCCTTTGTGTAGCCGTTCCCTCAGCTAGAATACTTTTCCAGGGCCTCCCACCTCTTTAAACCCTGGTTGTCCCTCAGAACCTAGGTGAAATCCAACTATTGTCCATGAGAACTTAGCCACTCAGCCTGCACTGATGATCTTTTTCTGCCTATGTCAGGTCGGTGGGACACTTGATCATCGTTGTTTCTTTTGTTCATTGACTGATTCATTTGACAAATATTACCCCTCCTTCAACAAATTCTTATTGGTTGGCCCTCAATGTGCTAGGCATTATGATAGGTTTTGGGAATAGAATCATGAAAACAGACACGTTCCCTTTTCGAATAGAGAAAGATCCATTGATCAGGTAATTGCCCTGGTGGAAGTACAATCACAGACTGAGAACAGTGGCCCAAAGGAAAAGAGCGTGGATTTATGAGAACATACAAGAAATGACCCTGATGGAGACACAGGGGTTGGGGTCAGGGTAAATATTCCCAGGGAAGAGGAAAGGGGTGAAGAACAAGGCGAATAAGGCTGCACTGTGAAAATAGGGACAAACTGTGAGGAGCCCTGTCAGCCTTGTTAATGACTTTGACTTAATGAAAGGATGCCATCAAAGGGTTTTAAAAGGGATAATGGGATCAGAGTTTTGTTTTGAAAAGTTCATTCTGCTGCCACTGTCTGGAGAAAGGACACAATTGAAAGCAGGGAGACGAATTGAAAGGCTTTGGAATAGTCCAGAGACAGATAAGGGGTCTCAGACTAGGGTGATAGTAGGAGGACCAGAGAAAAATGGTTGGACTTAAGAAAATATCAGGAGGTAAATGAATAGGTTGTGTGGTTAGTTATGGGAGAGAGGGAGGAGTTGAGGGTGTGACTTGGGAGGAGCGTCCATTTGGGGAAGATGATGTGGAGTCTGCCTTTGAACATGGAATCGGTGCTGTGGAGTAGGCAGCTGCTGAACTGGGGGTGGTCACGGGCAGGCAGGAAGGTACGTGTGGTGAGAGAGGATGTCAAGGGGGAGAGCACAGGTGAGAAAAGGAGGGTCTCTCTTCACACTGGGCCAGAAGCCCCTAAAGGATGCTTTGAGGAAGCGAGTCAGTTCCCACTGGCAGCATGGAGAATGTTTCTCTCAGTTCTTCCCCTCTCTGTGCTCAGTATGATCCATGTTCAGGTCTTCGTTATGTCTCACCTGGATGCAGCAAGAGCTTACTGACCCATTGCTTCTCAGAATTTAATGTGCACACAGATTGCTTGGGGGTCTTGATAAAATGCAGATTTTGATTTAGTAGCTCTGAGCTGAAGCCTGAGATTCTTAACTTCTCACGAGCTTCCGGGTGATACGGACCACATTTCCAGCAAAGAAGGGAGTTGGTCCCCTTGCCTGTGAAACGTAGTGCCCTCACAGCCTTGTGCCTCTGCTCAGAAGCCGTCGGTGGCCGTTCATGGCCCACCACATAACTGCACATTTGGGGTCTGCTCCGGCCATCTTTGGCCAACCTTCGTTTCCCTCCACTGCTTCCCTTCATTCACGCTTCATTCCACCAAACCAAATCCTTCACTCGGAATTTGTCCCATCTCGTCTTATCATTCAGAAAGGGACAGAGACCACCTAGGCTAGCTCCAAGTTGGCAGGGGTCTACTGCAGTGGTCTCCAAACTTTCCTGTTGAAAATCCCCCATAAAAGGATTTTATAGACCTAATTATCCCCTCACACATTTTTTAGTTTACATCTACATTTTCTTATCATACATTTGCAGAAGATGCAATTTCTAGTGTATTATAAACATTGATATTTTTAAGCAAAACTATTACATCACTGTTTTAAATTTATCCAGTGGAATCTAAACATCATAGGAATTTGATGCCCACAGTCATCCATTTTAAAAATGCATGAGCACGCTCTTCATTAAAAATCAGTGTCCCTTTTCCTCTTTGAAATTTTATTTCTGTTTCAGTTCCCCCAAGGAATTTTATCCTAATGTAATATGTGTAATCTGTTTTTATGCTTAAAATGCTTTCATTTGTTTCCCTACATAATTCTCTGAAACAATTTTATATGAAGTTGAAACTTTCTTAATTTCCTAAAATCATAAAACTCTAAGTATTAAATTTTTCTTTTGGTTTGAGTTGCCTTACAATTATTAATAGTATGCAATTGATCAAGACAGCATAAATGTGTGACTAATTTAGATAAATAACTAATAAACATAAAAACAAAAATTATATTGAAAATGCATCTCTTAGTGAGATGGTGATGCTGGATGTCTTCTCAAAGTAACTTTTTGTAGGGATGTACTACGTACACACCTGTATGTGCCCAGGTCAGAGTGTATAGCTTGACTTACTGTGGAGTGACCATACCCAGGCAGTTATCAGCCAGGGCCAGAAATGAAATATTGCCGGTGCTGGGTTATTTCTCACTTTGTTTATATATCCATGGAAGGATATTTATTGCAGGAGCTATGAGACAAGGATCAGCATCCATTGTGTCCATTTTTCATTTATAAGCTATAAGCCCTGAAAACCGTCATTCCCATGAACTAATAGAGATACAAGCTTTGTTAAAGCATGGTCAATCAGTTTTTGATCTGCTTCTAAGTTGTATGCCAAAAATCACATAGTGAGCTATCACTAACCATTATCTTTTAATTACTTCTATTAGGCCTTCCCAATAAAAAAAAAAGCTTGCAAAGATCTACTACTCATTTATTAGAATTGCTTGCTTTCTCAATTACTGAGAGTACACTTGTACGGTGGCTGGGTAGGGGCTGGGGTGGAGGGTCTTCCTGGGGCAGAAAACCCAGTTAAGATTTGGGATGGGATGGGTAAGCAGTTTGCCTTTCTTTTATAAAGGAGGAGGCAATATGTAATAGGACAGCCTGCACCTCTATCACCAGTCAGTTCTAGAAAAGAGTGTCCCCAGAAGTTGAGGACCTGAAAGTTCAGTCTCTTAAAACTTGGCATGTGTAATGCTTGGAAAGCTTTCATGTATTCCCAGGGGCTTTGTATACCCCAGAGAATCTGTATGACTCAAACCAGACTAGACCAGTCTCTCCAAAGGTCTGAGTTCATGATTCTGAGAGGGAATCTGACTGACCCGGCCTATTTTTTTGTGCCAGGCCACATCATAGGTTTCTGGCCTGGTGGTCAGTGCTATGCACAGATGTTTCCCTGAGCAGCGACCACAAAGAAGCAGCGAAGTATGGTGACCTAATAGGCAAACTAATGTGTTTCAAACTCTTTGAAACTTTCTCCAGTTCTGTTCTTCTGCTGGAAGTAAGTTCTCCAGTCTCTGAGTTCTCGTATCTGTTATTTTTACCTTTTTATCACAGGCATCTTTTTCCTCCTTGTACTATACTTACTCATGTGAGCCATCACCTTTTCTAACTGTAAGCTCCTCAAGAGCTGGGCTTGTCTTCTTCATTTCCTAGCATTGTGCCTTACACACTTAGTAGTTGTCTAATAAGTATTGAGCAGATAAGTTGATTAATGAATGTCTTAAACTTCTTCATATCCCTTACAGGTCCTAGAATAGTGCTGGGCTTTCAATAGAAGGATCCCAGAGGAATGGATGAATTAAGCAGTGAGCAAAACAATTAATTAACAGGTCAATGAACTAATGAGCCATTGAGCAATGGCTGGCACCTAAGAGTTCACATCTCATGAGGGTCAAGATCTGCAGAATCAGCATAAAGGGTGTGGAGTATATGAAAGTACCTATTCCTAATTGAGTCCCTTGTTTTGTATTTATTTCTATAACTAGTCATGGTAGATATAACTGCTCACCACAGCTCATCCAGGTAAATCCTTTCCTGTCCTTTGCATCTTGTCTTGCAGGTGTGAACAGCATCTCTTCACCACGGTGGTGTTCGGTTGGTACCTCAGCCCCAGTGGGGATGTAAAACCCCCTGCTCTGCACATGAGTGGTGCAGGCCAGCAGGAACACCTGGCTCCAGCCACAGTCACAGACATGTCAACCATGGAATAGAGTGGACACATTCTCTCAGGTTCTCAGGGTTTCAGTCCTTCTGGGTTTGTTTCATTGACCTTTTTTTATGGTTTTTGTGGCTGGACATACACAATCAAGGCAGGCACCATGGGAGATCAGCAACTGTACAAGACCAACCACATGGCTCACAGTGGTGAGAACCTTTTCTACCAACAGCCAGCACTTGGCATCCATGGAGGGCTGAACCACAACTATGGGAATACAGTCCCAGGAGCTGGAATGGATGCCCCCCAGGCATCACCCATCTCCCCCCACTTCCCTCAAGATACTCGGGATGGTCTAGGCTTGCCTATTGGCTCCAAGAACCTTGGCCAAGTGGATACCTCGAGGCAGGGAGGATGGGGAGGCCATGCAGGGCCCGGAAACCATGCCCAGCTACGTGGCAGCTTGACCAACTCAAACATGATGTGGGGGACACCAGCCCAGGCTGAGCCCACTGATGGCTACCAATATACCTACTCCCAGGCCAGTGAGATCCGGACCCAGAAACTCACCAGTGGTGTCCTGCACAAGCTAGACTCTTTCACCCAGGTGTTTGCCAACCAGAACCTGCGAATTCAGGTCAACAATATGGCGCAGGTGCTGCACACCCAGTCAGCGGTGATGGATGGGGCCCCTGACAGTGCGCTCCGCCAGCTGCTGTCCCAGAAGCCCGTGGAGCCCCCAGCACCAGCCATGCCTTCCCGCTTCCAGCAGGTGCCCCAGCAACCTCACGCGGGCTTCACCGGCGGGCTGTCCAAACCAGCTGTTCAGGTCGGGCAGCACCCTGGCCAAGGGCACCTGTACTATGAGTACCAGCAGCCCCTAGCCCAAATGCCGACACAAGGAGGGCAGGCCCTGCAGGCTCCGCAGGTGCTGTCCCCACACCTGCAGCAGGCACAGCACCAATATTACCCACAGCAGCAGGCTGGCCCACAGCACCTGGCCCTGCAGGAAGCGCAGTCGCAGCCACCGCGGCAGGGTGCCCTGCAGATCCCTCAGTACTACCAGCCCCAGACCATGATGCAGCACCTGCCGGAGCCCCAGCAGCCACAGATGCACCTGCAGCCGCCTTACCATAGGGACCCGCACCAGTACACCCCGGAGCAGGCGCACGCCATGCAGCTGATCCAGCTGGGCTCCGTGCCCCAGTACTACTACCAGGATCCCCAGCAGCCCTACAGCCACCCCCTGTACCAGCAGAGCCACCTGGCTGCACACCAGCAGCGTGAGGACAGTCAGCCCAAGACCTACCCAACTGACAGGCAGACCCAGACCATGCTGAGCTCCCACACAGATCTGGGGCCTCCTGATCCAGGAATGGGAGACACAGTGAGCTCGGATCTGACCCGGGTTGGCAGCGCCCTCCCCCATCGGCCGCTCCTGTCCCCCAGTGGGATCCACCTCAACAACTTGGGGCCTCAGCACCAGCAGCTGTCTCCCAGTGCCATGTGGCCCCAGGTATTCCCATAGCACAAGTGTCTCTTGGTATCTCGGTGTGCTCCAAGGCCAGCCAGTCTGTGCACTGCCAGGCCTCTCTCCAACCCCCTCCATGCTTTTGTTCCTACTCATTCCACAAACATTAACCTACGTGTGCCAGACTCTGTGTGTGCTAGACACTTGGGGTACAAAGTCAAATGGATTCAGTCCTTTGCCCATAGAGCTTATAATTTCACTAAGGAGTTGGCCAGAACACCCTATCAGGTCCTGAATGATGTAGGTAATGATCAAGGCCTGAGCGAAGTGCCCAAGGACCACGCAGTGGTGTCTGTCCCCCTCAACCTGTGTCGTTAGGGAATAACCTGTGATGTAGTTCTCCCTTTGGGAAGGAGACCACACTATAATAGCATTTCTCAAAGTATATTGTTCAGAACAGGAGTTCCATCGGATGTTTAATGGATATTGTTGGGGGAAAAATGGGTTCTGTGGATAAGTAAATTTGGGGTTTCTTAAAGTAAAATAGGTTGCAATGCTATAGTATTTCTCAGAGCCTTTCATATGCTAATGTATGCTGAATCTCCCAAGGGTGTACCTCATGTAGTTGCAGGCATGAAAACCTTGGCTGCCCATAGAATCCAGGCAGGTAAAGAGAATATGTAAAGTGGCCTGGTATGAGTGGTGGTGACTGTGGTGGGCTCAAAAGCAAATGCCCCATCTAATGGGATTCTTATTCAGGATGTTTAAAAACAGTCTAGCCAAACAAAACATTCCAGATTCAACCATGGGCCATGGTTATTAACCCTGGACTGTTTCCCAGAGGTATTTGACCACAGAATAGCCTACTATGTGCTAGGCACTGTTCATACCTTGGCATGATCCAAGTGCTACACTTCTTTGACAACAGGGTCAGGGTAGGAGGGAACCTTCTGGAGCTGGAGAGAGGGACTGATAGAGCTTGAAATCCAAAGGTGAACTCCTCTGAACCCCGATTGTTTGGGACTCAGGCCCAGTAATAACTGAGAGCCTTTGTGAACATGAGATGACATGCCCAAGGCTGAGAAAAAACTCCAGCAAGAGGTCTCCTGGCATGATGCTGTGTTCTGCTGTCTGTCTGAGTCTTGCAGGACTGGAGCTCGTCTGTGCACAGGGGGTGGAAAACAGGACAAGGTGGGGGATTGAGTCCTGGTGGGCTTGTGGCTGGCAGTAGTTCCCAGAGTGGGGTGTAGTCCCAAGTCAGAAAGCAGTCAAGGGAAAGGAGTCTCGGGTATGGAGGTGCGAGGGAGAGAGCAGACATCAGTTAGAAGTATGGGCCCTGGGGTTCCTGCCACTCAAGGACTCCTCCTGCCAAAAACACCTTTTTTTTGTCTTTCTTCTTTGTTCCTGTGTCCTGCATGGCTCAAAATTAGATGCACCTACCTGATGGCAGAGCCCAGCCAGGGTCCCCTGAGTCAAGGTAGGATGGATTTGAGGAGGCCTGTTGGCATTTTGGGAGACTGGGAGATTTTTCTGGGTTGTCTCAAGGTTCACTTCCAAATTCAAAGTCAATTCTCAAAGAAATATATAAAAATAGTAATAGCAGCTTTTGTGTTTGAGCATTTACTGTGTGCTAGGCACTCTAAAATACTTATCATAAAGTAACCCAATGAGGGTATGATTCCATGTGCCTCGCATGTAGCAAGCACTCTACCATCATTAGCTATTATTACTGTTAATTTTACAGATGAGAAAACTGAGGCTCAGAGAGCACTTCAAGTAAGTAGCAATGCTGGGAATGACTCCAAAGCCTCTGTTCTGCCCACTGTCCATTTAGTCAGTGAGTACTGAGTACCTACCATGAACTGAGCTTTGAGAATACAGCAGTGAATATACAGGCTTGTTCCCTCCCCTCCTGGGCATGGTAAATAATGAAAGACTTAGCCAGCACCTGATAAACTGCTAAGATGTGCAGTATAGAAACTAAACCAGAGGACTTAGATGACAGGTCCCTAAGGGAAGGCTTCTGGAAGAGGTGGGCCCGAGCTGACCTGAGGGAGTAAGAAACCAGAAACACTCAGCACCTGAAGGCCTGGGATGAAGAGGGACATTTTGTTCAACTCGTGCATGAATTTGAGCATGCTCTTTCCCATTCTTGAGCCTCAGTTTTCCATCTGTAAATTGGGCTTAGTTCTCCAAGGGTTCGAGGTGGTACAAGTGGACCATGGACATGGGAGCACTTAGTGAATAAAAAGGGTTTGTTGTCGGGTATGAGGTCTTGTGATAAATCACTGTTCTGCTTCCTCATCATTCGCATCCTTTCCATTTGGCCCTACCCTTGAGCAGTGGCCAACCAAAAGGAGTGTTTGGGGAGCAGTTTGATGCCAAGAACAAGCTGACATGTTCCATCTGCCTGAAGGAGTTCAAGAGCCTGCCTGCCCTGAATGGCCATATGCGGTCCCACGGGGGAATGAGGGCCTCCCCCGGCCTCAAGCAGGTTAGCAGGAGCCAGCCCCACTCCTTCCCGGGCCATCTGCTTCTTGCTTTGCTTTGCTGACATCAGACAGAGTCATGTGAACCCCACACAGGCACTTAGTGAGATACAGCCCTTTCCTTCCAGGAGTGCTTGAGCTTTGACAGTGGGAGCCAGCCAGGTCAAACAGTCCCCACCTCCTCTGGCTTCAGGAACAATGGTCAGAAACAGAGGTGCCAGAAATCCTTTTAGGGGATCCCAGCCACGTCACCTCCCAGAGAGGACAGCAATGTACAGTTGACCCTTGAACAATTCCAGAAGCTAGAGGGGCAAACCCCCCATGCAGGAGAAAATCCACATACAACTTTTGACTCCCCAAAACTTAGCCTGCTGTTAACCAGATGCCTTACTGATAACATAGTTGATTAACACATATTTTGTATGTTAAATGTATTATATACCGTATTCTTACAATAAACTAAGCTAGAGAAAAGAAAAAGTTTTTTCAGATTGTTGGAAATCTCCAAAAACTTCCAGTAGAGTCATTGAAAAAAAATCTATATATAAGTAGACCCAAGCAATTCAAATCCACGTTGCTCCAAGGGTCAAGTGCAGATGCAATATGATTTTTCACTTCTGCTTGAAGCACCCAGGACCAGGGTTACTTGGGCCTTCCAGACCCGTAGTTAATGGCCAGAAAAAGCTAATGTGACCATCAGGCTCTCAGCCAGCATTTTTCTGTTCACCAGGATAGTTGTGTTAGACTCTAGCATTTGAAGATCTTTAAATACCCTCAGGATTACCCAGGTAGGATATCCATGTGGTGAGCTAAACATGCAGCTTTAGAGTTGTATTAATATTCAAAGAAGTTTCCAGTTCTCAGAATATTGTTGACCTAAATTTAAGGCTATGGGATTAACCCTGGACACCAAAATTTGGGATTACCCAGGTCCCTCTACCTCCTGACCATGTGAGACAAAAGAGCTTTGTCTTCCATTTGACAGATAAATAAACTGAGACCTATAGAACTAAAAGGTCCTACACAAAAGCTTTTTCTTCTTCATTACAAGTCCATATCCTTTCTTTTAAAGCAATAACAAACACTAAAAAAATTTTTTTTGGTATTTGTTTTAATGTCCAAGTGATACATGGTCAGGATCTTTCAAATACAGAAAATAGAGTGCATGGCCTTGTTCACTGCCAGCTGGCACCACGTGAGCTGAGGGACTCAGGGTTGCAGGAAGGAAACCACCCCGCAGTGTTCTCTGTCACCCACGCATGATGTCCTGGAACCTTTCGGGAAAAGCAGAGTGTGTCCCCCCTCATGAAAGCTGCTCTCAGCCCAGGATCAAAACCTCTATTGTCTGTGTAGGAGGAAGGAGAGAAGGCCCTGCCGCCTCAGCCCCAGCCGCCACTGCCTCCGCCGCCGCCGCCACCGCAGCTCCCTCCCGAGGCAGAAAGCCTCACACCTATGGTCATGCCCGTGTCTGTCCCTGTCAAGCTTCTCCCGCCCAAGCCCAGCTCTCAGGGCTTCGCCAGCAGCGCCGTTGCTGCCCCCTCCGCCAGAGACAAGCCAGCCAGCTCGATGTCGGACGACGAGATGCCCGTGCTCGTGAGGATGACCCTCTCTCCCCCACACTCACCCCAAGGGGCTGCCCCCCACATGCCTGCTGTGAGTTGCTGCTCTGCCCTGCCTGCCTGGGGTGGGAACATCCCTTTGCTTTCTTGGAGATGGGGACAGCTCTTCTGGGGTCCCTGGCCTGGGCTCAGACATGACTTGGCCTCTCAGGGCTGAGTTGCTATGGCAGCCTTGGGGAATCCCATCTTCGTCTATACTGCTTGCTCCATAGAGGACCAGCAGTTCCTCTAACCAGGCTGATGGTCTGGGTTAGATTCTGAGAGAAGGTATATCCAGATTACAACAGAGATGATAACTCAGTTGATAATCACAGTTATTAAAATATGGAAGTGTTGTCCCAGATAATAAATAGCTGTTGCCTGGGGCTCTGGCCCCTCCCCCAGGATTTCTGGACCTCCGCAAATCCACCAACTATCGCTGTAACTCCTGGCACAGCAGGCCTTCCAGGCTACAGCCCTGGCATCCATTCTGATGGTCAGCCTTACCAGATGCTGAGTATTTTCAGTATCACACCTGCGTAAAGACCCTTGGAGGACCTGATTCATTAAGGTTCTCAAAGTAATCCCACTGAGAGACATGCACCCCCAATCTCAGGAAAGCAAAGAGATTCATGTTTTTCAATCACTGTGAAGTTCTTCTTTTTCTCAAATTCCAAGTGCTTCACTCCAGCAGCTTAGCTTGGTGCTGGGATAGAGGCTGACTCTCTCTCTCTTTCCTCGGTGTGGCTCTTTCTCTCTCCTTCCCCACCCATGAGACTCACTACATCAGATTTGTCTCCTCCCCGCAAACTGGTATGCTGGGTCCTATTTGTCCTTACAAAACAGTTGGCTGCTGGGATTCCAGAAGGCCTGAGTGTGGGCATTAGCCAGAATAGGAGTAGGGAAGATGATTAAGAGAACTGGAAAAGTTCAGAGAGAGCCTTTTTGGTTCTCAGTGTAATGTTAAGGCCTCAGAAGACAGACTAATAGAGAACCTCTGGGGGCTCCTAAGCTAGAGGATTCTCATAGGCTGGCAGGACTTGGGGGCCAGCAATAGGCAGAGAAATGAAAAAACATTAGCCTAGCACCTTCTTTGCCTAGGGAAGTTCCCCTGATTTGGTGGGAAAGTCTCAGCCTGAAGCTGGAGACACTAAGGCACCCAGTCACAGTGGGCACGGCCCCAGGCAGCACCCCCGCCCCAATATAAGCCAGTGAGAGAAAGACCGGGGCAGAGGAGAAATGGTGGACCCAGGGTGTGGCTGGAGGGGAATGCCCCTGGAGAGCTAAAATAATCAGGGACTGGGGAGAAGCAAGCAGGTTTGCTGTTTGCTCAGATCATCATGAGGGGATCATCATCATTCTGAGCTAAGTTTTGAGGGCAGAAGTGAACTTGGCTTTGTGAAAAGGGTGAAAGACATTATAAGTGAGGAGATAAGCCAAAGTGGAAGCATGTAGGCGCGATTGAGTAAATCTGAGCAAGGTCCTGACATTTGATACAAAGAAATTTAAGTGTCCAGGGAAGAGCCCTGAGTTCTAACCCACTCTGCTCCAAACTAGTTGGGGCACAGGCAGCAAAGACCCTCCCTGTCTCGAGCCTCGGGTTCTCTGACTTCTGAGGGGGTTGGATTCACCATTGGTTTTCACCCTTGTTTCTGGTGGGGATGGGGGGGTGGCTTTTAAGACCTCTTAGTGCTTGGCCCCGCTTCTAGAGTAGCTTAGTGGGGGTGGAACACTGTAAATGCTTCCTCTGAAGTGACATCAAGGTCTGACATTCTGGGTGGCGTCCCTGGCCCAGGGTCCCAGGCCTTGCCTGGAGGATAAGAACATCTGGGTTTAGAGCCGGAGTAACAGGCTCATGTAGAAGGAGTCCAAAGGGACCTTCGCTGTGATCAGTGGTCTGGATTCAGGTGCAGGGTCGAAGTCAGGTGTGGTCCACGTGTGTTCCGAGGACCTCATAAGTTACCCTGGAACAGGATGTAAAGTTTCAGGATTGCTTCCCTAGTTGGGAGCTGTGGGCTTTCTCCCTGCATTCTCCGCAGCCCTGTCTGTGCACCTCAGCCTGTGGTGGTGAGAAGCCCTCTGGTGGGAAGAGGAAGCAAGCTGGGGCACTCTGGGCTAAGGAGAGCCCCCTGGGGGTGAGCTGGGAGCCCGAGGGCCCTCTGCCTCTTCTCCTTTCCCCATCTCTCTGCTTCTCTAGACTCCCCTGCTAGGGGCTGGGATGATACCTTGCAAGTCAGTGAAGCTGAGGCGGAAACAGGAAGGGGCAGCCTGAAGAGCTGAGGGCTGGCTGGGGCAGGTCCCATAGCCTGGAGCTGCTGGTCATGTGACTGGGCACTTCCCATCACCCCCTGCTGCCTCCTGCAGGCTCGGGATTGCCAGGCACTGCGCCTGTGAGAGACACTGGCCTGCAGGGCCTAGGACGGTACCTCAGACTGCCCAGACTTCCCCGCAGGTTATCTCTACTGCCTCTCCAGCCACACCCAGTCTCGTTTTTCTGGGCTCATGCTGGCACACAACTCAAGTCTGTTTCTGTTTGGCTTTGGCATACCCTGCTCATCTATTTACGTGCATATGTTTACTTATTAGTATATATGTTACATGTATCCATGAGGCAGATCTTACTTCCAGACTATGCTTGGGTCAGCTGCCATAAAATAAACTAACACTGCTGACAGGAAGCCAGTCAAGGAGAAGGGCTTGCTTCCAATGAGCCTCCCGTGCTAGGTGCAGCGGTGATGGGTTGTGAGGGGGAGGTGAAACAGATCCATTTCTTAGGAGAGCACATGAAAAGGGCCTTAAACGTCGCAGATGGCTCTCGCTCAGCCCGAAAGTTAGCTCAGAGGAGAGCCCAGTGTGGGTGACTGGCCCTGGGAGCCTTGGCTAGGCCTGAGCCCCTCTTCCTGCCCCACAGCCTCTGCCCAAGTTCCCTGAATAGATTATTCTGCCCCCTTCTCAGAACTTGAGTTATCTGTCCCTGGTGTCTCTCCCCAGGGAGCAGGGGGGATTAAAGGGCCCGCTCAGCTGGAGTCCACCCACCAGATGGGAACGCAGCGATAGGCAACAAAGAATGTGAATTTATTCCTTCTTGCCCACCCACTGTTCTACCCCCCACCCCCACCCCCCATCTCTCTTCAGACATTAGGGTTTTCCTTCAAAACCAAAATTTTATCCTCATCAAGCCACCAACCCTTTGAGATGGACGTGGCCGTTTTTTAAGGCAGAGGACGCTCGGGTCAGACAAGCGGAGGGGCCTCCCCACTCGAACAGAAGCTCCCCTCCGCTCAGCCTGTGGAGAAGGCCTGTGGGGAAAGCCTAGGTATGTAGACCGGATCATTCTTCGCTTTTAGGAAATTCCCAAGAAGCACCCGGCGGGCGTGGCCAAGGCCGAGGATCCCTTCAAGGCCCTGCCGGAGAAGAAGTTCCGGCACCGGCCCGAGCCGCTCTTCATCCCGCCGCCGCCCTCCTACACCCTGCACCCCGCCGCCTCGCACTCGGGCGCCACCCTGTACCAGAGCCAGCTGCGCTCCCCGCGCGTCCTCGGGGACCACCTGCTCCTGGACCCCGGCCACGAGCTGCCCCCCTACACGCCGCCACCCATGCTGAGCCCGGTGCGCCAGGGCTCGGGGCTCTTCAGCAACGTGCTCCTCCCCGGGCACGGCCCCGGCGGCCACGCACAGCTGCCCCTGACGCCCCTGACGCCGACGCCGCGCGTGCTGCTGTGCCGCTCCAGTGAGTCCGCCCCGCGGCCCCCGACGGCTGGGAGCCGCCCAGGGAGGGCGGCCTTTCTTCAGTCATCCATGCCCCAAACCCCACAGACCCTTGTGGCGAGTCTATATTCCAGGCACTGTGGGTGCCGGAAGCACTTAGAAGGAGAACGGTCTCCTCAGTACTTATCCTCAAGGGAGTCGCCAGCACATACAGCCGTAGGGTGCACGGGGTCTTGGGGATAAGGAAGCAGTTGAAGGGTGCGCACACCGCTGAGACTGCTGTGGTAACTGTAAGACACCCAAAGTCAGCGTACTAAGTAGTTGAGGTATTACTGCAAGACCAGGCCCCCGCTTTACCGTGTGGTGTAACGATCGAGTGTGGAGAGGCCTGTGGCCCTGATCCCATTCTGGAGAGGACAGTTTCAGAGAAACAGTGCAGCTTAGCAGACCAGAGTGGGGCAGCTGGCTTCCGATGAGAAAAGTGGGTGACCTATGTGAGAAATGGGTGACCCTGAGGCATTTAGCAGCCCCTCCACCCAGCTCCTGGGAGACTGCTGGGGGTAACTCTAGCATGGGTTGGGTAGGAGAGGAGCCCTGTTACAACTAGTTAGGTATTGGTTTGGTTTCTTCTACTCTCCCTGTTGACCAGTGACCTCTGGCTTTTTGTGTTTCAGGCAGCATCGATGGCAGTAGCATGACAGTCACCCCTGGGCCTGGAGAGCAGACTGTTGATGTTGAACCGTAAGAAAAAGCCAGTTATTCTCTAGAGTAGAAGTTTCAGCTGAGGATGAGGAGCTTTGAGAAGTGTAGTCAGTACTTACGAGGTTACAGTGGCCATTGAAGGAGAAGTTACAGAAATTATAGGATCGTGATTTTTCTTCAGTACTATTGTTTCCCCATAATTGTCCATGTTTTAAGGCCTTTGCCAAAGACTAAATTCATAGTAAAAGCATGATGCCCTATATTCAGAGGACCTAGTGTCCCCATCTTGGGCTCCGTGGGCCAGTTTAGTTGTGGCCGCATGCTTTCACATCCTCGGGGACATCGAGGCATCTCTCTCAGGGTGCCCAGCTGTCTAGGAGGCTCCATCCAAGTGCCCTTGCTTCTCCATCCCCTCTCTAAGATTCTTGGCTTGTTGAGTACTTGAGTTGTGGTGAGAAGTATAATGGAAGAGAAAGGTGGTTATTTTCATGGATAAGTACAGAAGAGGCCAGCTAGTAGAGTGGTGAATAGTTTTGAGTCAGGAATCAGAAAACCAGAGTTGCAGCACCATTTTGTCATTTGATTTTGACCAAGTTCACCTTCTTAGGCTTTAGTTAACTTACCTATTAAGTGGAAATAACTGTCACTCCCTTGTTAATATCACAGGTCCTTGTGAGGCTCAGATGGATAAGTTACATGAAGGTAGTCTGAAAGGGGTAAAAATGAAGAGCACGTGGTATTTGTCCCATATCTCTGTTTAAACGGGCCCACTGGCCGTGCTCTGGGCCACTGCTCCCTTGGAATCAGTGCCCCCCCTCTCCCAGTCACAAGGAGTTATGAAGCCCCAGAATTCTCCCTTGCTGCTCAGAGGGCCCTCCCCAGCTTTAAAGCTGTTCCTTATCCCAGTGAAAAGGCCACACCTCGAATCTTAGGATCACACTGTGAGGAAATGCCCCTGTATTCTTCTTGCAGAAGGAACTGGTTTCCTTCTTTTTCAAGTTCCTGACAGTTGCCCTTGGCCTCAAATTGAAGACCACACTGTTGTTTTGCTTCTTGTTATTAAAGACGTATCAACATTGGCTGGAGATTCCAAGCAGAGATCCCGGAACTCCAGGATGTTTCTGCCCTGGCCCAGGACACACACAAGGCCACACTCGTATGGAAGCCCTGGCCGGAGCTGGAGAACCATGACTTCCAGCAAAGAGGTATTGGCACATGGAAAGAACTGAGTGGGAAAGGCTTGGTTCTCTCACAGGGGTCTCAGGCTCCAGGATCAGTGTGTTTTTTCCATGATACTGAGCTCTCTCTGATATAGTGGCTTCTAATTATTCCCAACAGTGGAGAATCTCCTGAATTTGTGCTGTTCTAGTGCATTGCCCGGTGGAGGGACCAATTCTGAATTTGCTTTGCACTCTCTCTTCGAGGCCAAAGGTGACATGATGGTAAGGAACCATGAAAAGTAATTTTCATGTTCTTCATGTCATAATTCTGAAAGTATTTTCCCCAAGTTTCCACATTGTCCTCTACAGTCAACTCATAAGATGATGACTAGTCAATATGCCTCCATGTTCCTTAACTAGTAGGTCAGGTTTAAAAGCCTACAGGAAAACTGCCAGTTGGACTTAAGTTTGTAAATCTGTTTCTAAATAATACTTACAGGTCCACCTGTCTTGGGAAATCTTTCCTTACAGCAGACTTAGTAATTCACATCAGAAAACCAGTCTCCAGCGATGGAGGTAAAAGGCCTTACTGAGCTTGGTCTAAAATAGCCTATTTTCTGCCGATTGAACCTACATGGCAATCAGCCAAAGTTTTGATATTCATAGAATTTTTTTCTCGCCTAACCAAATTGAAGTTGAGTGTTTGCTCTGCACCAAATGGTGCCATTCTTCCGCCTTTGACATAGTGCTTTAATGTCCCCAAACCAGAACATGGGTGCCATTTTCCTATCAGAACTGACCATTTGCCACTCACCTTGGACACCTGGTGAGAGCATTTCAATCACTAACATATTTTCTGTTGTAAATACATGATTCTAGAACCAGATCTAGCCTCCTGCTTTTTCATTTTATGAAAATGTGAAAGTAAATGAATGTCCCAGCACTACCTTCTCATGAGATTATTGATACCCTTCAAGGATTTTCTAGAATATTGAAGAACTCTAACTCTCCTTAACTCTTTAAGATCAGTGTTGCAGAGCAGCAATTCTTGAATTCTTAATGTGTGCACAAATCCTTGGGGAATCAAGTTCTTCCTCAGCAGTCCTGGAGGAGGGGCCCAAGGCTCTGCATTTCTTAGCAGCCCCCCAGAGGATGCCCTTGCAGCTGGGCCATGGACCACACTGCAGTTGCTCCACCCCTAAATCACACTGCTCAATCCCACAAGTACCATTTTTTTAAAAACTTCAGTGAGGCTGAAGGAGGCAGCTTTGAAAGGGTTATTTAGCTCGGCGCTCTGGAAGGACAGTGTGTCGTGCAGCTATTACTAAGGCAGCTGTTTATGTTCAGTTGTAATGAAATGTGATTTTTCTGCAAAAACATTTACAACCCCCCGCCCCCCCCCACTCATTTCTTCAAGAGCCCTTCCCCAGAGAGTCAGCCTCCATTCAGAGGAGCCACCACCGTTTCTCAGGCTAGGGCCCTCACCAAGGAAAGATTGGGGTCTTGGCTGCCACCTTTTTCTCTGATATGACCAATGAGCTGCAGGCATGAGCTGGGGGGTAGGGGGTGGGGGGTGGGAGTGGGTATTAGAATGGTGAGTCCCATGGGAGCTGACCAGAAAGGAAACCCCAATTAGGGCAGTCTCCCTCCAGTGCCCCCCAACCCCAGGCTCTGCAATGCTGACTCCATTTCCCTGTTAAGAGATGCCCTTTCTAAGCCACATAGACCCATTACTGACTCTCACCTTTTCTCTCCCTGTATCTGTAGGCTGCTCTGGAAATGCTGCTGCTTCAGAAGCCAGTCAGATTAAAATGTCATCCTTTAGCAAATTACCATTATGCCGGTAGGTTGCTGGGAGCCCTTTGCCCCATTGCTTTCTGAAAGCAGAATGTATGTTCAGCTGTGTCATTTTTTAGTAATAGATTGTGCCAGTTCTGTCCAAATCACAAGAAGGCCTTGTGATCTCAAGCTGGGGGGCAGTTGTGTCTATTCACTGGGTGCTGTTGGGCATTTGTATGGGCTCTTCATGGATGCACCAAGAGCTGGTTGATCGTGGATGCTGCCTGCATGGGTGGCAGTGAGACTGGTGCATTAGGAGAAAGAGCCACAGAGGGTACAGCACAGAGGCAACAGCACTCAGCAACCCCTCAGACTTGGAGTCAGTAGACAAGGATTAAAATCTTGCCTGCATCCCTTGGCCTTCTGGTGTCCTTGGTTTCCTTACCTGTAAAATGGGGCTCATACTCCATGCTTTGCAGCGTTTCTGTGAAGATTAGAGAGAGGATATGTAGCCCAGTGCCTAGCAGTCTAGGCACTGTCTAGTTATTATCATTACTCATTTATTGAACAATTATTGAGCACTTAAGGTATACATAAACTATGCTAAGTACTAACATGAAATAGTGACTGTTACAGACATAGACAGAGACCCACCTCATTCAGTTTTCAGTCTGAGGAGGCAGTTATTAAACAACAGATCACACTGGTGGCAGAAGAAAGACACCTACACATACACATGTACATACACATACATATGAGCATGACTTACGAGGGTGTGGATTAGCAGTGGCATCACCAATAAGAGGGAAGGAGAAAACACCTTTGAGAGTTGAATGTAGTGAGAATCATGAAGAGAAAACAAAATGGGTTGGGAAGCCTGAGGTGACAGATGCAGGTGACGTCAACATTTTATTTCCATTAACTGGTAAACCCTTCCATTCTGAGGGTCTTCATGAACCTGGCTGGGTTCTCTATTTCAGAATGTACTGAATCCTCTAACACCTCCTGATTGTTAGTCACTTGAAGGTTTTTTTGGTTTCTTGAGTAGACCTGGCATAGGTAGGTGCTAAATAGTTTCGTGGCTTGGGGACCTGGTAATACCTTTCTAGCCATTGGTCCAGGTGCCCAGATATAACCTCAGGTGAGGCTGCCCTGCAATACTGAGTACTTTCAGTGGGTTCCCTGTCCCCGCCACGCGTTGCCCCACGTAGCGTGCTCCCATGAGATGGCCTTCCTGTCTGTCACGACAGGGTGGAGAGGCCTCTGAAGCCACTCATCTGAGCACAGCAAGCCCAGGATATCTGCCTGCAGATTACTTTTAGCACACTGGCCTCTTCTGGAGCTAAGCAAGCACAAAATGCACACATAGGATAAGAAATCCATCATTTTGACCAATGGACCAATAGAGCCATTTTCTTATTACTGTCTCCGTCACTTTCTGTTTGGTGTCTGCCTGAGCGTGGGTAGAAAGATGTGGGAGTTCTTCCTAATCTGCCATGGCAACAATTCAATCATCTTTTAATTCTGAGTGTCATCTGCTGCCCATTAAACCTGGACACGCTGTCCAGCCTTCTGGAGCCTGGCTCAGGCCTCTTTGCATAGTGGAAGAGACAGTTGGTTGACAAGCAGGTGCTTCCCAACCATGTGCTGCAGCCGCCCTTGACCCTCCAGGTGACTGGGGTAGCCGGCACCTCTGGGCTGGTTAGCTCCAGCTGTGAGCAACCTCATCTGAGACCCAGATCCCCTCTAGTTCTTCCCAGTGTGCCAAGCAAGTTTTTTTTTCTTTTTTTCAAATATGTGTGTTATGACATAAAAAGGGTTGGAAAGCTATGGACTAGTAGCTACCCCCAGGCCCAAACAAAACAAAACAAAAATAAAATAATACTAAGAACTTTGGAATTAGAAGGCCCTAAACTCTGCTAAAATTAATTGATCTTTTGGGGTTGGGGGCTCTTAGGTAATCCCTGCCCGCTGCCCCCATAGGCAAACCAGGAAGCACGCTCTTGCTTCCGGAAATCATTTTGACCTTTAAAGACAGGAGAGGTGGAGCTGAGGTGTGAAGGGCTGGTGTCCTCCTAGCTGTATGTCCCCAAGAAAAGGGTGCTCACCTACATCCGCCAGTTGTTTACCTTCTCCAGGAAGTGATCACAGACTGGGCCTCAGAGAATCTTCTAGAATTAGGAGAAAAACAGCAGAGGTTACTGGTCTCTCAAGTCTGACCTGACTCTATCCCCTTGATAGTTCCCTTCTAGGCCACAGAGGAGCCCAGAGAGCTACCTCCATTACATGCCCTAACTACTAGCCACTACCTTCTCCCACCAGTCAATTTGGGGTATCAATGAATCCCATCCCTGTGGCCCCATCCTGCCTTGGCCTTTGTGCCAACCCCACTGGCTTGCTCTCCAGAAGGACTGTCTGTGAGCTCAGGTAAGCCTTACTGGGACATTGTCTTCTGGTTCTCCTTTGGCTACAAGCTCTGTGGTTGTGGCCAGTGTCACCCCACCCTGACTCCCAGGCCTGAAATCGCACTCTAGGCTCCTGGTTATCTAGAAAGAGCGGTCAGGTCTCCCAGGCCTGGGCTCCAGAGGGCAGGCAGAAAGCCTGATCTTAGGGAGCAGGGATGCAAGTTCAGGGGAGATAGAGGCCTGTGAAAATTACTGCCCTTACTTTACTCACAAGTTCCCATCCCATCCCAAGCAGTTTAGTGAAAAAAAGGAAAAGTGGCCAATGCGGGGGCCCAGGAGGGACACCCACACTGGGTCGGCAGCTCACCTGCATCTGGAGGCTGCTTGCCAAGACCCGAGGAGCCCCATGCAAGATCCTCAGAGGCAGGTGCCACTGCAGTGGCTCCCGGCACTCTGATCTCTGCCAAGGTGCATGGTCCAGCCTTCTCTCGGCACCCTCCACCCGTGTGTGGGTAGCAGCTATTGGCAGTGGCTTCCACACAGTTGGATTGGGTGGAGAAGGCTTGGTGTGGGGGAGTCCGGTTGTGATTTAAGGGCTGTACAGCATCCTGGTTTTCTGTTAAAACTGGTTGCTCCTGCAGACAGGCGTGGAGTGGAGGGGTGTCAGGCCCTGGGCCTCTCAGCAATGGTTCAACAGAATCTCCTGTCATCTCCCACCACAGCCCAAGCATTCACCAGTCCTGAGCCTTGACCTGACTCTGGAGATGGGGGAGACCTGACAGAAATAGCCATTCAGTTGGGGGAGGCCTGGTCCCTCTCTTGGAAGCTGCCCCAGTTTGATGAGGAGACAGAAATAAATACTCAAGAGAATACTCTGCAAGAAACACAGCTGTGATGTCATTTTTCAAACATTCTTCGACCATGTCTATAGCTAGAGAGTGGCCCCCTCAAGGGCAGGAGCTGAGTTAGCACCCTCGTGCTTCGCCTGACATAACCCTTAAAAAGAAAAGGGTCAGTGGATGAGCTCCAGTTCTGGGTTCAGATGGAAGCCTCCCTTCCTTTTGCCTCCAAAGGGAACTTCAGTAGCAGTGTGCTTCGCCCTACACCCCTAAAAAAATGGTTCTGCCTTCATCTGCTGTGAAAAACCTCTCATGGAAATGACGATCTGGTTTAAAACAGTCCTCCTTTTCCTAAAGTGAACATGTCTTTCTTGCGTAATTGCAATAACAGTGCCAATAAAAGTTTTCATCATCTTGAAGGAAAGGCAGAAAGGCCCTCTTTAGGAGGTGTTGTGCTCAACCTTTCTGTTACTCCTCCACATGTCTTTTTAACTGCCTGGGTTCACTATAGATTGCCCCATAAGTAGCCACAGTCCAGAGCCTGTTTCCCAGCAACCAAAGCTTGGAACATTATTCCTCTGGATACTGTTCCAGCACCAGTTTCCTCCCGTTAATTAGGCTCTCTGTAATTAGCCTTAATCGTCTTGTTAGGGACCCCTGCTGATAATAGCCCAATAGCCAGGAATCCCCAAGTAGAACAAAGGGGATGTCCACCCGCTCACCCTGTGTGCATGCTGAGTGGGCAGCAGGGAGCCCAGAGAGGAAGGGGGGCCGAGGAAAGAGGAGGATCTGAGGCAGCCCCCTGCCTTGGTTTTGCATTTTATCCTGGATTTTGTCCAAGACACACCAAGGGCTGGCTTAGAACCTTGCCTAAAAGTGAGAAAAGAGCTCCTGTCAGACAGATTCCAGGGATGAGAGACGCCCAAGCCTTTCCTTGACTGGAGGACAGAAGGGATTCAGGGGCAGGGAGCAGGAGCCCGGGGGTTATGAGCAGCCAAGAGTCAAGCTGTGGGATTGTACGTCATGGAGCAAGAAACACTGGCAAGGACCAGCGGCCTTCACAAGCACCTCACGCATACATCAGCAGGCCACACGAATCCTGGAGCCGTGGGCTCCCTTGGAATTTGCTCTCCAAGTGGCCAGGTGCAGACCCAAACCACTGTGTCTCTGCTTAAGACTGAATGCTGCCGGTCACAGAAGAAGAAATTGAGACTCAGAAGTTAAGGAAACTTGCCTGGGCCACAGGAATGAGTGGCAAAAGCAGGTTTGCAGCCTATTTTTATCACAGGACCGGTTATGATAACAAGGCTCTGTGTTGGGGGGAGAGCACATTCTGGTGTTGCCAGGCTTTGGCCTGGGAATTCTGTCCAGGGGCCCAGGGATGGATCCACAGCCCCGTGGGCAATCCGTGGTCAGGATGCAGTGAAGATAGAGCCTGTCTAGTGTGAGCGTGAGGACCGGTTCACTTGTATGGCCCTGCGTCTGCCTCTCACGTCATGGACGCCCTTGTTGGACAGACGCAGGCACACCGTGCTGTCACTGGCACTAAAGCACAGACTCTAGGACTGCATAGAGGAGCCACCCCCTGCCCTCCAAGCACATGCTCCCTGAAGCCCTCGGGTGGGAGAGTGGCGCAGAGAGGAAGACAAGGGAGTGCAGCCCACTTCCGATCCAGGACTGGTGGTGCAGCATAAGCACTCCTGGATGGGGAAGACTGAAGACCACATCCCAGAGCAGCATCCCTCAAAGCCGCTGAGGAGTCAGCAGAGGAAAAGTGATGGGGATCCCCATACCAGATGGTCTAGGAAGCTACTTCACTTTTATTGGAGTTACAGCTGGAAGCCATTTGGAGACATGAAAGCAGGTGCTGCTCAGACATAGGCTGGCCTGCTGCGCGTAGGCAGTCATCAGGTGGTGAGCACTGTGGGCACCGGCTGCTGGCCCGAGAGGGCTTCATGCCCTGTCAGTGGGTCACCAGGCCCGAGGGCTGCACTCTGACTCGGACAGCATGTAGTCTGGCCTGGCTAAGGTGGAAAGCAGTCCCAGTGATCTACTTGGGGGTTTTCATCAGCAAACTGTCCCCTGATTCCCCATCTGAGGTACAACCCAGAGCTGCACAGACTCCAGACCTGCAGCAGAGCAGAACATCTGCCTCCTTATAAGCTTGTCCAGAGATGCAGCTGGTGTGCTACCATGAGCCTCTTCCATCATTATCCTTCCAACCTCTCTTACCTCTTTGCTACCTTGACGGATACCTGAAAGGAGCCATAACTGCTCTCTAGCCATTCGACTAATTGTTGGTTAATCCTTTCTGTCCTTCTGCCTCTGCTCCTGGGCAAGGGGAACATATGAGAGCTGGACCCACGGCCTTGAACATTAGACCAAATTGGAGGAATGATGATGGAACTGCTCCAGACCCCCAAACCCCACTGGCCGCCTCTGCTCACATCCACTCCTGCAAAGCTGCTCCAAACACCCGGCCCCTCTCAGCCCCCTGTCATGGTAGTTTGCACAGCCAGAGATGTCCCAGCCTCCAGAACCTGTGGAAGATGATTTCTTCCAGCAAAGATTAATCAGAAGACTGCTTTCCTTCAAGAAGTAAAGAGATACGGAACAGAATAGAGAGTCCAGATATTAACCCAAGCATATATGGTCAATTCATATATGATAAAGGAGACACGAATATACAATGGGAAAATGATAGCCTCTTCGACAGCTGGTGTTGGCAAAACTGGACAGGTACATGTAAGAGAATGAAACTGAATTATTCTCTAACCCCATACACAAAAGTAAACTCAAAATGGATCAAAGACCTGAATGTAAGTCATGAAACCATAAAACTCTTAGAAAAAAACATAGGCAAAAATCTCTTGGACATAAACATGAGCAACTTCTTCATAAACATATCTCCCTGGGCAAGGGAAACAAAAGCAAAAATGAACAAGTAGGACT